TTCGTAAGTTCAGTCCCAGAGTATATGTTACAAGATCAATTTTCCAGTATGAATTTCAGTAGTGCTTGTTTGGGAGAAATTATAAGTTGCTGAAATTATAGATTGATAGAATTGAGTGGTGGATAAGTGGGTAGTAATTATAAGTCCTATGAAATGTGTGGTTAAAATTGAGGTTTAATTCTGACCTTTAAATTATCATGGAATTATATTTAAAAAAAAAAAAAAAGCACTAGGTCATCAAAATATAGATAGAGCTGTTTACTATTCCTCCTGCTATCTTCTATATTTAGGTTTGTGGCTCTGAGAAGCTTTTGTTAGTTAACATTCTTTATGTGCCATTTATATGAGCTTATTCACTATTGTGATAAGAGTTATATCTCTTTTTAGTTTCGAGAAGTCCCCAAGACATGATTCCTATGTTCTGAAGTTCGAAGCAGAACTTGCTCACTTCTGTGAGAAGTTGGTAAGCATTTGTCTACAAATTGAAGATCAACGTTTTTCCGTCAATATAATGGTTGATTTTAGGATTTGATCAAACTTGGAGATTCTATTTCAGGTTTCAGATTTAGATAGAAGAGTTAGACGTGGCCGAGAACGGCTTGCTCAAGAGGTCGAAGTTCCCCCTCCCCCTCCTCTCTCAGCCAAAAAATCTGAGCAATTGTCTGTTCTGGAAGAAAAGATAAAGAACCTGCTGGAACAAGTTGAGTCTCTTGGTGAAGCAGGGAAGGTTGATGAAGCGGAGGTACTGATGAGAAAGGTGCTGCCATCTGTTTTCTACCATGTATAAAGCACGTTTGCTAAGCTTAAAAAGCATAAAGGTTACTTTTAAGCAACTTTTTGAAAGGTTGAAAAGGTTATATTTGGACTCAGGTTAGGCATAAGCCTCTTCTCTAACAAAAAAATAAGCCTTTGTTTGGTAACGCTAAAAAATTTGATAAAATCTAAATCAAAGTCAACAATTAATTTAACCACGCATTTCATAGGACCATAACTTTTCAACCATACATTCCATCAACTTTTATCAAAATCTACAAAAAATCTGATTTTAATCTCTCTGAATAGGGGTAAAGACAAAAACTACAAAAACACAAAAATCCATGGTATAAAAGGAAGACCACAAAAAAGCCTTCTAAACAATCTAGATTACAGAACAACCTCAAAAATTTAAGGCTAGTAGTAAAATGGCCAGAAAACACAAGTCAAATGAACACACACCTCAGTGGTACTGAGCCTTGAGGCATAGGCTTCAGTAAATTGATGTGTAGATCTCAAAAAATTGAGGTTAAATCTCAGTAAATGAGGTGTAATTTATAAGCCTTAACTGATGGCACTTAAGGTGTAAGTTTTGAGGGGTTCAATGAATGCCTCTTGTGAAGCGGGACTCCATGTGCAAGCCTCCAATAGCTTTTTGAAACAGTGATTTTATTTTTCCCAAATCATGTCTGATAACTTACTTTTAAGTTTCAAAAATTACTTATTTGTAACTCTTGCTTTCCTGCCACCAATAAAATGGTATTTATTTCAAAATTTGTTTATTTACGCTTATAAACTTTATAAGCTTAGCGAAACATGCTCGAATAGTCCATTTCAGGAAATCCTTAGACTGCCACTTTATAACTATTTACTCATAACTCTGATCTCAATTCTTTTTCAGGTGGATGCACTTAATGCTGAGAAGACAGCCTTGACTCAGCAACCACAGCAGGATAAATTATTGATGATTGCACAGGAGAAAAAAATGGCTTTATGTGAAATATGTGGTTCATTTTTAGTGGCAAATGATGCTGCAGAGAGAACTCAGTCTCATGTTACCGGCAAGCAGCACATGGGTTATGGCATGGTCCGTGACTTTCTCATTGAATACAAGGTAATTTCTGTTGCTTATTGAGAAAGTAAAATTGTTACGTAGAAATTCCACCTATATTTTGATTAACTAGTAACTGGTGAAATTTGATCTAATTAACAGGCAGCTAATTATTACGTAGAAATTGCACCTATATTTTGATTAACTAGTAACTGGTGAAATTTGATCAAATTAACAGGCAGCTAAAGAGAAGGTAAAGGAAGAAGAAAGATTAGCCAGGGAGAAAGAAGCTGAAGAACGGAGAAAGCTGAGGGAAAGAGAATACAACAGCAGACATAGAAGTGACTCATCAGACAGGGACAGGTATCATGATAGAGATTATGACAGGAAGAGGGACAGATCTCGAGATAAGTCTCATGAGAGAAATGGCAGAGTAATTCGTGATGGTGGGAGAGGATCAGACTGGAATTACAGCAATTTGAGGAATGGAAGAAAAGGAAGTAGGGAAGGATACCATGAACGTGATAAAAGCAGGTCACGTTCTCCTGTCAGGCATCGCCACAGGAGGTCTTCGGGGAGTCCTATTCACCCATATTAGAGGATTATCCTGATAATTGTCGGAACTTTGAATTCCAAAGAGGTAGACATTTTTTACAACTTATCAAGTTTCATGTGTGTGCGCTTTGAAGTCAGAAGTTCTGTTGTCGTCATGAGTAAAATTATCTTTCTGTTCTCACAGCTCTATTGAGATTGTACCATCTCCCTATCAATTAGAGAAAAGGTCGAGGTAGGTAAATCTTCATTATTATGACTCTCTCTATATTAACTTTCGGTCGACTGTTCCATGGATCATATTTGGTATTTCACTTATTGAGAACAATCGTATTTGATCGATTTTTAAGGGGGGTCAACTTATTTCATGTTGTTATAAGAACAGATTCTATATGTTTTCATTGGTAAACACTGCTGCTGATGGAGAATACAGGTTTTATCCAAACTGTGAGGTAACAAATACTTTTTTTTTGTCACCTGGAAAATTAACATCCTTCACTGTTTCCAATTTGGTTCTCTCTTTGGTCATTCAGATGCTCAAATGCAAAACTGGTTTCTTTTCTTTTCTCTTTGGTAAACCAGTCTAGGCAATGCGAATTGTTGCTTGTTAGTTGCTTATTTGATGAGTTAATTGCCCAGGTGGGCATGTTATTGCACAGTCGTGAAGCTCTTGAGAAGATGGGTAAACTTTCTTTACCCACTTGTTTTCTGTCCTCCTCTGCCTGGGCTTAAGTAGCTGGGTATGCAGGTGACACATTCGTCTGAAGTGGAAGCTAAAAATTTACAAAAACCAGAAATTTGCAATATTAATCGTGTTCGCGATTAACTATTTGTTTGAAGTTTTTGTGCGCTATACAAGATTAGAAATGAAAAAGCTTCTGTTTAACAACTATTTTTCATGTCTGGGATACGCGCG